TACCAGACCGTTTATAACAACTGAAGAAGCAGTAGAATTAAAGAAACAATGCTATGAAAACAAGAAAGAGCATTATTTACAGATGAAGAAGGATTACTATGAAAACAAAAAGGAAAAGATACTACAAGATTGTAAAGAATACAGAGAAAAACACAAGGAGCAAATACAGGAATACAAGAAAGATTATTATGAAAGGAATAAAGAATACATAAAAGCAAAGAGCAACAAGAACTATTATGATAATATTGAAGATAGAAGAGCAAAGAATAAGGAATACAGAGATCAACACAAAGAAGAAAGAGTAGAATACGACAAGCAATATAGGCAAGATAATAAAGAAAGAATAGCTCGATACAAAAAAGATTATCATGAAAAGAACAGAGATACCGTACTACAGAAACACAAAGAATATCACAAACAACATAAAGAAGAGCAAAACCAAAAACGACGTGAATTCTACCAAGATCATAAGGAAGAAATCAACAGAAAGCGAAGAGAAAAGCGTCAACAAGCAAAAGAACAACAAATGAATTAATTAATTATAAATATTAATTTCTCACATATTAATATTTATAATGGCTTCACTAAATAATTTAACGGCAGTTTATGCAGATAGATTTTATTTGTCATCTTCAACGGGTGTAAGTGAAATATCAGATACATATGCTACAAAAACCGAATTAGGAGACATCAACACTGCAAACTCTTCAAATATAACAGCCAACGCTGACGCTATTTCAGTCTTGAATACAAAGCAACTACAAAACTTTCATGACATCAGTTCTATCTCTCATATTTTGGCGACTACATATCAAACTAATTTGCAAATATCCAGTAGTTACTACAGTAAAGTAGAAATAGATACTACATTTTCTAATTATTATACATCAACACAGATTGACACAAATTTATCTACTAACTTCCAAACCAACACCCAACTGGCAACCAATTATTATGATAAGGGCGAGGTAGATACATTAATAGCAGGGGCTGGATCGGGATACACAACTACTGAGGTTGATAATCTACTAGACTTAAGAGTTCCCAAATCAGATTTTACAAATAGATTTAGTGCCAATCCTATTATTGACTGTAGTGCCCCTACTGTTATTCATAGCGGTTTAACATTAAACAACTCAACTATTAATATATCGCCAGTAGCAGGATTATTATTTAGTAATCAAACAGGAGGAGGTGATAAAGTATTAGCAGAGTTTAAAAACGCAACGAGTTATATAACTTTACAAGGAGATAAAATATTTTGTAATAATACATCAGATGACGCTATTAAACAATTAGATTTATCAAATAATAATGCAGGTTATAAAATGAGTGGTAAAATAGCAGTGCCAAGCGGTGGGTTAGTAGTAGAAAACACAGCAGATGCTAATCTATCATTTACAGTTAGAAATACTGGTAATTATATTACTTTTAATAATGATAATATTGATTGTTATAATTCAGTTGGTGATACAGGTAGGATTTTACAACTAAATAATAATGCTAATCAGTATGTTAAATCTCATTCTTTATTAATTGATACAGGAATAGAAACATTAACAGGAGGTTATACATTAGATGTTGTTTATAGTGCTATTATTAGACAGAACTTAAAGGTAGATGGTGATATTGATTTAACAACTGATTTCAATTTTGATGGAGAAAACGCTAATATTAATAATGCCAATGGATTAACATTTTATAAAAATACAACAGACGCTAGTAATGTTTTAACTGTAAAAAACGCACAAGGGTATTTAAAATTTAACTCATTTAATATTAATGCTTATAATACAAGCAATGACAGTTCTTCATTACTTTTATTAAATACTGCAAATGGTAATGGTGTCTATTGTTTAAGTTTAGGCATCGGAGCAATTCAAGGCGCAAATAAACTAAATGTAAGTGGTGGGAATGCTAATTTTGGTGGCACCTCATCATTTCAAAACACATCAACATTTAATGGTGATATTTATGTCAATAGTTCAGGCAGGGTATTTCAAAGAGCAGACGCTAATAATTCATTAAATGTAATATCAACAGAAGAGATAAATTTTTCATTACAGCCGTCCAGAACGTCTGATCCTACTACTTCAACAATAGCAGTCCAGTTAAATGACACTAACGGAATTACATTAAACAGAGCAGTTACAAATAACTTAACATTTAATAGTATTGGTAATATTGTAGGTGAAAGCGATGTTATTAGTTGGGGTAGGTTTATGTTTCAGAACAGCAGTGAATTAAAGGAAGTTTTAGACACTCAGTATAAGTTATATATCAGAAATGGAGACACTGCGGGAGAAATGAATTTGACAATAGGATTGGAAAGTAGCACACCGGAAATTCAATTAACAGAAGGGAAAGTGAATTTATTGGGAAATTTAGAAATAACACACGATGATATAACAGGACAGCAACGAGTATTAATAAATAATCCAGACGACAACGGATGGATAAGATTAAGTAATAACAACTTATCAACATTAGACGCAACAACAACAGGTGTGGATGTTTATGGTGACCTTTCATATACAGGGTCATTAATTCCTTCATCAGATAAAAGATTAAAGAAAGATATAAAAGAAGTAGATAGCAAAAAAGCAGTAGACCTAATAAAATATATTAAACCGAAAACATATCATTTTATTGATGACAGACAACAAGGTAAATCGTGTGTAGGATTTATCGCTAATGATTTTATGGAAACAAAGAAGATGCCGGATGAATGGCAGAATGTAGTTAAAGAAGGAAAAGATGGATATTTAAAGTTTGATTATACAACGTGTGTGCCAATTTTATGGAGTGCTTTACAGACAACAATAAATGAAGTAGATAAACTGAAAAAGGAAGTAAATAAGTTAAAGAAAAATAAGAGTGATAGTGATTAATAATATTTTGATCAATAATATTTTAGGAAATAATATTATTAATCACCTATTTCAAAGCGTTGTTCAAAATTAATATAAAACATGTTATTCACATCTTTAGCATTTGTGTTTATATAAAAGAACGAGTAAGGCGCAAAGTTCACCGCTTGTTGATACATGTCATAAAGTGTTCGCTTGTCTACAAGGGCACTATTCTCTTCTAGGAAACTATTTACCTCGTTCATGTTCTTCAGTCTGAATATGAAAAGTGCCGAGGCATTAAGTCTTATTATAGGGGCAAGGACATTATATTTTTGTGTTGATAAAATACATGAGATGGCATTATGTCTTCCACGTGTGAACAATCCATGCAAGATATTTGAGTATCTTACAAATTTAGGATCATCGGCAAAGTCGTCCACCACTATTAAAATACTGAATAATTCCTTTTGTTTATTCTTCTTCTGGAAGTCTATTACCTTGTGTTGCGTTTCTATTATATGCTTTAACGCAATTGGATCGTATTCTTCATAATATACTTTTTCCTTTTCGGTATCCACTTTCATTACGTCAGTAATGTATTTCTTGACTGCTCTCCATGTGTCATCCACATGCACACTAGGGCTAAAAATGTATATCCTTTCAAATGAACCACGGTATATCTTTAAAATTAGATTTTGTATTAAAACAGACTTGCCACCCGTTGAAGAGGCAACACATAACATTCTTGCAGGTAGACTTGGCATCATCCCGTATTTACTATTCTTATAATTGTATTTGGGTATGTCTATAGGTTCTACTTTAGGAATATCTTCTAACATTAATACTAGTGAGAAATTATATCATTTAAATATATATGGATAAATACATAGAAGTAATAAATGAGATAGAGAATTTTGATGAAATAATAAAAACTCCAAGATACAGAATGTGTTGTCACAGTTTGTTGGAATTTCTTAAGGCATTTTTATATTATCTTAAAAATGTTAAAAAATGTAAATAATATATATACATGGATTGTTTGTTTACTAAGAAAGAAAACAAAGAAAATAAAACTGATTGGCTGGAGGAAAGAAGAAATATTAGAATGTATAACGCCAGATTAAGTGCTATTATAGATGAACTAGAGGATTATTATCATTATGAAGAGTATAAGAAGCGATTTAAATTGTTGTTTGAGTTTTATCAGCTGGAAGAATTGCAAAAATAATGTTGTAAAGAGTGATTTACTTATAGAATGACGCAAGGAACGAGCCCCGCGTGCATTCGCGTCAGCGCCCCATTTCTCCCATTTCCCCAGTGTGCCTTCCATAAGCATGTCAAAAGAACATGGTAATGGTTAATTAGTTTGAAACAATGCTTGTCATAATTAATAAATTATGATAAATATTGTAAAATAATATAATATGACAATATATGTTGATAAGATAACCATGGATTTTAATACTGAGCATTACCCTCCCCATTGTGATCGGCAATGTGTTAGATGTAAGAAGTTGAAGAATTTAGTGCATTTCAAAAGATATTATCATTGTAAAACGGGGAGGTATTTAATGCAGTGTAGAACCACTGTTACTTGCTGTGAATGTCTTGATGGAATGAAAAAGTATAATGATAAAAGGAAACGTGAGTTAAAAAAAACATAAGTATAATGTAAGCACATTTCATAAGAGTTTATGGAATATAATCCTATTATGATTACAACCTTTATAACCAAACCTAGTAAAATCTATGAGAGAACCCTTGCCCATTTTGGGTAATAATACCACCTTAGGGAATATGGATAGGGTAATTGGTTATTCCTATACTGGTCTTGGTAATGGGGAAGTAGTGGTGATATTTGGGGGATTGTAGTAGGGAGTATAGGAATAATCCGCTTATATGGATGAGGTCATCGGTTATTCCTATACTGGTCTTGGTAATGGGGAAGTAGTAGTGATATAGTTGGTGAGGTGTAGGGGGGAGTATAGGAATAATCGTCTAATGGGTTGACTGGTGGTATTATTACCCAAAATGGGCAAGGGTTCTGCTAACTGATTATTGGGGGTTGGGGTGCACTATAAGGGGAACAGGTAGCAGAAACAGCTTGAAGCATGTGGCGCTCTCCAGCTGTGTAGAGTTGCAGCATAGGTACGTCTTCGCGCCGCGGCCACGATCACGTGCGGAAGCCTGGCTGCAAGATGCGGAGACAGGACAGGTGAGTCCTACTTACGCAGCAACTGCTCTATCATAGCACTTCTCATCATGTATCTTTCTATCCTGAGGGGAGTTAGTTGTAAGGCAAGTATGCCCAAGACAGCCTCAGCGGAAGCAAGCTTTGCTCAGCCAAGGACCCATACTGGCTTCGCGAGCGTGTGGGGAACTATCTGCCACCGCTCGGTCTGGATGAAATCTCAGCCCGACTTGTGGATCATGGCTTGATTTAGCTGAGCAGAAGACCTGCTCACGGAAATGATTCACGACATACAGCCTTCCCGGCTCAGCCATACTCAGACCTGAACGAAGGATGCTGGTCCGAGACTCTAGACTTGTTCTTTTGAAGAATCTCTCCATCCTGCTTGGTTTGGGCAAGAGCGGGCGGCTGCCTCCTTGTCACGTCGTGAGTATACAGCTCGTCGTACCGAACAATCTCCGCTTCGTGATCTAGGCGCTGGGCCACTGGAGGCACATCACATGCGACTGTGAGGTGGGGGTAGCCAGACATCCGCTGCCCCTACGCCATGTTCTTGGACTTTCTAGAATACCTCGAGCCGAACATACCAATTGCAGGCCTTGCCTGCGCGAGCTGGCTCTTCGGAGAAGCTTGGTTCCAGTTCTGAGGCCCTGTCGCCTACGTCGACGGAGCCTTTGAATCAGAAGCTCTGCAAAGCCGGAAGCTTTACGGATGCGATTGCGGTGCCGCGATCTGCATGCATGCCTGGAGACAGCTCGGAGGCCTAAAAGCAGTCGGATTTGTGCATGCTTTGCATTGGCATTGCGCACAGCTTAGCATTCTGCAAGATTCTTCGGAGCTGAGCCTCTTTAACCCTTCAAAAGAGCAATGCTTGCACAGCGCTAGATATAGGAGTGGCCCCTGGCCGGACACATGCAGATCCCCTCAGAAGTTATCTCTAGCCCGCCAAGTAGTACTCAGCTGGTAGGGTTTCCTGTGTGGACGAAGTGCTCGATGAGTTTCGATGGCAGGATGCTGGGATGGTCGCCAGAGAAATGCGAATCATCTTGAATTTGATTTACCTGCAAGTCTTGTTTCATGCCGGGCCCTCAGGTTCTGTGAAGTATCAAATTGCAGTATGCCAGACATCATGTTCAGAACGCAAGGAGAATGACCCTGAGTTTGTGCAGTCACTGGGAAGAGGCCGTTGATGTATGCAGGGTGACATGGGCTGGTTGCTTGAAAACATTCTGCTAGGACTTCATGCGTTGGGGCACGCTCCCCATGCCAAAGATGGCCACCGACACGGCAGGGATGCCTGGTTCCCGCGTGTCACATCTGACATGACCTGACATGTGCTCCCTGCTCCGGGAGATGTAGATGCTGGAGCGAGGGCTCACGTGATAATCCACCTGCCCGCCTTGTATGCCTTTGTCCCGCGCATGTCGGTGCATCGATGTTTGTGTGCTTCGGGTGCATGGAGCTGGCTTGCCAGGGAGGGGAGTCCAAAACAAACTGCTTTATGAACCCTAAACTAAACCCTAAGTTTGATGCCCTCCAATTTTCTCAGATTCCTGAGAGCTGCTTGGAAGCTGCCCATTCACTGGCCTGTTTGCAAAGGCCAACCCTTGGCGGAGATACAGAAATCCCCCAAGTTCCATGCTTCGCTAGCGGAGCGTAGCTGAGCGGCGTGCCTTGCGTAACACAGACGCACAGTCATTCGCGGCGGCAATGCCGCACAAAGACCACCATACTTGTTGCTGGCACCAATCATGGTTCCAGACTGCCCGTTTCGCAGCACGCGCAGCTCGGGCGCCCGTTTTCCCCCTTGACATTGAGAGACAGCATGTGATGACAACGCGTTGGCGTAGTTCTTATCATTCCTGCCAGGTGGCACGAAGACCCTGAATTCAACCTGCTTGCGTTGCTTCGTGGTGCCGTGGGCTTTCCAGCTGGAGACTCGCACTTGGCGATTGGAAGTCGGACCCTTCTTATCTCCGAGTCTCTTGTTTTTGTTCTCGTTTGATTCTCCTTCTTGTCCTTCCCTGGTCCCGCCCACGCATGTTGCCTCGCTGTTCGGATGGCCTTGCTTTTGGCAGGGAGGGAAAATTGATGCCAAGCCTTCGCATAATGTAGCATCTCCCACAGCAGTTTAGTTGTAGCGTTCTTGACAGTTCGTACGACACTTCAAGCTGCACAAAAGGACCGGCAGCGCATCGGTGCTTCAATTTCTCCATGGTTGCGTGGCTTGTTCCCTGGCACGCATGAGGTCGCAGGCAGCCCTCCTGAACACTTAGTTATTGACTTTGGGTGGGGCATTGCTGGGCTGTAACATCCGTGAGACGCGAAACGGCGAGAGAAATGCCAATGAAGAAGGGTGTGCACGGTGCACATGAAAATGGCCTGGGATGCCTGAAGGTGCCGTGGCCATCATCGCTAGCGGTGGCGCAGGAGCTTGCGGTCAGAGCAAGATGCGCGCTTCACACGCGAATCCATATGACGGTTTTCGCCCTCGAGGGTGCCGCCACACGGCGCGTGAGGGAACGGGTAGGATCGGGCAAGCCATGGGCAGATCGGCAGGCACGGGCAGGCACGGCACAGGCATCGACAGATTCCCACTCAGCTCCGCTGGGCTCGGTTGCCTCAGGCACTCCGCGGGCAGCAGGGCGAATAGAAAGTTCAGCAGCGCCACGCAGCGGCATCCCACCAAGCGGCATCCCACCAGTTATCGCTGACCAAGGGCCGGTAGTGCTGCGGCTGGGAACCGTCAGGCAGTAGTGCGGAACATGGAGGCAACATCAGCGTCTCCATGGCTTCCAAAGGTGCGGAGTCCGGTGCCATAAAACGATTGGTGGTCTAAAGCTTGCGTTGGTTGCGATGGTGATCAGTACGCCAAAGCGCCGGTGGGCTGTCGCGTGTCCGCCATGAAACTTGAGCCCGGCATCATCCGGCATCGTCTGGAATAAACGTGTCCCTGACGCGCATCCATGTTCCGATCATGGCCCACGCTATATAGGCCGCTAGGCATATCGAAATCGTCGCCATCGGCCTGTTTCGTTTCTGCCTCAGGCCAAGATCGCACAAACCGCTTTCGATTGCGAGGCATTGCCTCCGATTCGAGCGCCTCCTTGAAGTCTTTGAAGCAGTGTCAACGACGTGCACCTCTGCGTCATCCCCCAACCTGAACAGGCCTCCCACGTCGAGGCCTCGCGTGCCGGGCTAGAAATGGCTGGCACTGAGTTTGAAGTCTGTCGGATCTGCGCTTCGTCATTCTCATTGATCCAAGAAATCGCCGCCGCTGGATGTAGGAGGGGCAAGACAAACCTGTGCTGTGCGTGGTAGTTGCTTTTGCTGTGTGCCAGCGTTGCTGCCCAGCGCCGCCGGATCAGCAAGATGCCAACGTGCAGCCGCAGAGCCACGGACTCGCACCAGTCGGCGTTGTCCAGCGAAATTCCAGCGAGGCCTCTGTCCAACGCTGCCAGTTTGTTGAGCGCTCCCAAATTGTGCTGTCGGATGCTGTTGGTCAGTGACATCGAAACTTCGGCTAGTCCGACGCAACGCGGGTGCACTTCGCGTGCTTATCGGCCACCAGCAGCATCCAGCGACCGCCCTGCCTTTCGTCCAAGCGCTGGCGGACGAGCAGCTGTCCCACCCTGTCCAGAGCTGCAATGTGTGTGTGTGTGCACCCTGATTCTAAGCTAAGGGTTTTGGAAAGTCTCTGAGGCTTGGCCGGACATTTCGTATAGAAGACTGACGGTGAATGTGTTTTATGCAGGGGGGCAAGGGCTCCAGTGACTAGCCTTGCCCAACGAAGCCAAGTCATTGGAGTGGATGCAGTGGCTGATCACCACTGTGTACCTGCAATCGAAAGGCCACCCCAAAGTACCCTTAAAGTTGTTTGCTGCCACAGTGGCCGGCAGATGGATGGATCAGGTTTTTCGTGTAAGGCCACAATTTCGTCACCATGCATAAGATCTTCGGACAGGGAAGCCAGTGAGAGTTTACTCTCTTATCTCCGTGTGTGGCCTTGTTGCCAATCGCAGTTATCCCGCGAGGGAGCTGTGCGGGTCGTTGTGCGACTCATCATGGTACCATGGAGGCCCAATAACCTGGCAGGTTGGGTCGAGAGGCCTAGTGCCACGCATGGAGCCCACTAGACCGCTAGCGATGAGTAACTTTCAGGTGGATGGGCAACAGAGGGCTAGTCCCAAGAGCAAGAATGGTGGGTCTTAGCACCCGTGTGGCCCGAGGTGGGGCCTAATGGAGGTCCTCCGGACCGCAATAGAGGCCTTAGCGCCAATGGAATTTTATGGATGGATTGGCGATGCTCGGCTCCTTATTCAGCCTTAACCTTTTCTTTTGATAGTTGCTAGGATCTGTGTGACGCCATGTCTTCTTTCACTTTCCCGTTGTCGGAAGTACCGCATGTTTGGGGCCGTCCCCTCTGACCGAGGGGCGTGTGTGTGTGCACCCTTATTCTAAGCTAAGGGTTTTGGAAAGTCTCTGAGGCTTGGCCGGACATTTCGTATAGAAGACTGACGGTGAATGTGTTGTATGCAGGGGGGCAAGGGCTCCAGTGACTAGCCTTGCCCAACGAAGCCAAGTCATTGGAGTGGATGCAGTGGCTGATCACCACTGTGTACCTGCAATCGAAAGGCCACCCCAAAGTACCCTTAAAGTTGTTTGCTGCCACAGTGGCCGGCAGATGGATGGATCAGGTTTTTCGTGTAAGGCCACAATTTCGTCACCATGCATAAGATCTTCGGACAGGGAAGCCAGTGAGAGTTTACTCTCTTATCTCCGTGTGTGTGGTTGCTGGTGGCGCTGTGTGGCAACGTTCCGATTTGCAGCAAGGCCCACATGCAGACGCGTGAATTGACGAACCCAGAGCCGCAATACTTTGACCCCGCCTCCCACGGTGAGAGAGGTGGGGTAAGATGCTCCAGTTCGTCCGTCCCGCTCGCTGCGAGGCTTGCGCTGGTGGGAGGGCCCCGAGGCAGTGCAGACGTGGACGGCGCACTCATACCGACTCAAACAGGGAGGCTGAGGAGCTGTGGTTGATCAGCTCCTCAAAGACTGCGGCATTTTGCTGCATCTCGAGCTTGGCTTGCATGAAAGGTGTCGTCCAAGACCTGTAGCGGAACCTCTCGGATTGTTCAAGTCACCTGCGGCGAGCAGGAGGTGCTTCTGCGTTGTTGTTTTGCGGGGAATGCGGCACGGCCCCGGCGCGAGGTCAATGCCTGGGCCCTCGAGTGGGTGACGATCGATGAAACA